ACCAGACGGTAAATCAGTGCAGCTCAGGGCTGTTTGCTGATTAATCCTCAGGTTTAGATGGAAGTCACACATGGGAGAGACACACGAAGAGTGAGACGCATGGGAGAGGAACTCGAGAGACAGAGAAAGAAACTGAGCTGCTGTTTTCAAGAAATAAAGATGCTGAGAAGCAACCTGCTCGTCTCTGCCCGTGCAACAGGGGAACCCCAAAAAAGCCAGAAAATGCAGAAAATGAGAACATTTAAAATCCCCAAAATATGAGCACGACGTTGGTAGGTTTCTTTGTCTCTCATTGTGGTCTGTGATACAGTTGTCTCACTGGGACTGTTTAATAAGACTCAGTCAGCTGGAAGACCAGACATTTGAGTTCAGAGGATGAATCACCAGCCGTCTTTCCCCTTTCACGTTCTGTCTGCAGCAGAGAGGACAGAGCTGAAAGTGTTTTAAATGAAAAGTGTAAAACTTCATAAACCTTAGAAAAGGTTAAAGCAGAATAGGATGATCAGTACATCTCATTTTTTACACCTGGGAAACATCAGATGTTGTCTCAAGTGAAAGGTCCCATGTAGCTATGACTCCTCGGAGATCATCACCCTGTGAGGCCTTGTCCTCAGACCTGGGGCCAGAGAGCAGAGGCCCACAGAGAAAACAGCCTCTGCCAATGGGAGAGCTAAACCGACACTTGAGATTTCACAGGCGTTCAGGGCCATGGATTTTACATCAGTCAGCTGCAGACTGGAGCTGAGGGGGCAACAGACGACATCCAAAAAATACAGTGTCTCTATGTTGTTTGTGATAAAGTTGCAAAAGTGGGAAATCCAAGGAAGACGCAGCACGTCATGTTCAAACATGCGGTTTAGTCGCAGCACTTTGAGCAAACTTTGACATTATTTGCCACGTTGTGTCCAAACGCTTCTCATATCTGTGCTAAGAGGAAAAGTAAACAGTTAGTGTGTGAAGATCAAGACCCAAGCATGTGTCAGCAAACTGTGCAACACTGCAACATGTGGACAAAGCATGCAGATTTTTTTTTTTTGTTGTTGCATCTTTTTGCCTCTAAATTGTACATTATTGATTCAGGTGAAAGTTTCTTTAGCTGCATCCCTTGTTTTAAAAAAATGTTCTTTCTGTACAGCCACATGGTCCCAGAGATGTTTTAGAATCTGTAAAGCATTTAACACCAGACTTGGTTCAGAAAAGGAAGAAGAAAAAAAAAACGCCACGTAAAAACTACAGTATTCTGTCTGTATCTGAGCCATGTGTTGAGGAGTCATCTCCCTGTGAGCGTTGGCTGGGAGCGGCACCCACAGAAGAGCCCCCTCTAGTGCACAGTGTCCCTGAGTGAGGCTCTCACCCCCCCAACTTTACAAGCTGGCTTGCCATGTAAACACACAAAAGCAGAAAGAGCTGTGATGACGAATGCGGATGCGTCTCTGGTGATGAGGATTACTCAGTGGAAGGGTGGGCTTATTCGATCGGGAACGTGGAGGGGGGAGGTGGATGGGAGAAGATGAGGGTGAAATGTGAGACTGTGGATCATGTCTGAAGCATCCGCTGGAGGGAGGAGCTGCACTCACATTGTGCAGATGGGTGTGAAAAAGCAAAGAGATTAACTCTTTCATTTGGATCATTATTAGTTAAATGTGGGTTTCTTTCCTTTTCGAAATGCAAGTTCAATAAAAGCAGAAATATTTCAGTTTTATCTTATTCTCCCTTGTAATTGTTTATATGTAATAATCCCAAATTCTTGATCCTAACCTGAAAACCATCTGACGCTGTCCGCGCTGGATAAAAGCTTCTCTGAAACACTGTAAACTATGATGATCACATAATGGTAGCTTTGCGGTTTAGCGGGTGGTGATTACTTTTGTTTTCTCTATAACAACGTGTGTCTCCCTTTAGCTTAGCTGCAGCGCTTTAAATAAATTTAAAGAATGACACGGTGAAAACGAAGTGACCATTAAAAAGGGTAGAATTATCACCTGAGCTTTACAGCGAGTTTCTGCCACAGACATAAACATGGACGACATGACGGCTCCCTGAAATTGAAGCCAAATTGTCTGTATCACCCTCTGACTGCAGTAAAGATCACAAGCTCAAGCGTTCATAAGTTTGCTTTGAATTATTTATTTGATGCTTTAAAATGAAACGTTATGATCTACAGTTGAAACTGACTTAAGATTGATTTATTCATCTATATACGGTTGTATTGTTTCACCTCATTGTTTTTGCTTATTCCCACTGGCCTTGTTTTTAACAGTAGCTGTTTTTACAATAAAATAAACTCAGACACAATTGGAATTATCAAGTGAACACAAGATGTTTCCTTGACGAGTTGGTAGAGACCAGAAGCAGAGCTGCAACTGAGTGAATATTGGACTTACAGTCATCAGGTGTTTCTCCAGGACATTTCCCATATCAACTGAAAAGATGTTGATATGTTAATGTTCATAGTTTGTTTCTGCTGCTCCTAAGTAGCAAAGAAATAAAATCAACTCAGCTCATTTCTGTACATTAAACAACAACATAGCGCAGAGAATAAAGAACTAACCTACGTACAACTGTCTGAGCTTTGAGACCAGCAGTTGTGTTCAGACTGTCGAAAGAACAGGAGAAAATTGGGGAAGCTGCTATTTTCCTTGGATTTTCCATCTAGCTCAACAGAAAGTTGGCCTGGAGCAGCAGCTTTTAGTCGACAAGGTTATCTGTGCAGCGCAGGAAAACATCGACAGTTTTACAAGAGCAATTCTTTGTTTCACTCTTTCATTTCCAATGCCCTTGATAAGTTTTACGAATCAATGGCACTGAGAATCTAGTTGTCACCTGCTCAGGCCCGTAAGCTCAGTCTGATCCTGGCTGCTTTCTTTAAACTGGGTCTTCCTCTCATCTGGATTGTCTGAAACTTTCTTAGGAGAGTGCTCAGATTGATTGCAGCTGTGGCTGTTGGCTGGGTTCATGCTGTGGGAGGCTGCAGCAGGCCAACAGGGCGGAGCTCCAACATCTGGAAAAGAAGGAAAGCTGGCTGAGACACAGAGACGAGAGCGCAGCGACATGGTTGCTCTCTGAGCCAGTTCTGCTGCCAAAGTGTTTGCAACGTAACTGTTCACTTTATGTGAATAAAAGGTTTTAGAAGCCGGTGTTGTTGGATGAGCATTGAACCAATGCAGCGTGTGAAGCTGATTTAAAAGCGTTTATCTGTTTGAGAGCGAGTGGGGGTCGACCCAATGGAAAGAGTGGACTGCTGTTGTTGAGATCCGACCCTATGGGCCTCTCTAGATGTAAGAGCGTGTCTAAACATGTGGGAGCCGCCTGTAAAAGGAGAAAGAAGGAAGGGGGTTGAGCTGGTGCTTGTGCTGGTCAAGAAAACACTTTCCTCCTCACATCTTTTTCTTTTACTGGACTTCACTCACTTTTCTTTCAAATACCTTGATGTCTTTCTTTGTTTTTTCTTCACTTCATGCTCTTTGTTCTTATCTCGTACAATTTCACCGAAAGAAACAACCAGTAATTCAGTGGTACAGTTTAAAAGTGGATAAACAGATTTCTTTGGTCAGTGATCATTGTAAGGATTTAAAAACCACCACTACAACCTACCAGAATTCTTTTTTGTTTCTCCTTAAATGCAGGTACCACTTTTTAATTAGAAACTCTTCGTAAAGAGATTACAAATGTTTAGACCTTGAACTTGGTCTTTGACTGATTAGCTCCAATAGTTAATCATCTGGAGATTTCCTCCCAAGTAATATGTGATATGTGCTTGAGGTGCGAACCAGTGGGATCCATACTCTGGGGATCATGAATCACTGTACAACTCCTGTAGCTATGGTTGGTTTGACTTTGTTCTTTTCTTAAACGCTGGTTATACCGGGTGTAGGTGCGTCTGTTTATTGCTTTGTGAGTCAGTGAGAGGCACAAAGCAGGAAAGTGAGTTACTGTGGATGGATGTCACGTTTATTTCTGTCGGAGCAGTGCACTTTATCATGCAATGGTAATTATATGGTTTGGTCTGCTGAAGTTCCAGCCAGGCAAAGTCAGTATAATTAACTTCTCTCTCCCATTTTGATTCTCGGTCCTTGAACTTGCCTCAGTTTGGCCTTTTTATTCTCAAGCACTGGTAACAGTGGTGAACGTGTGCAGCTGAGGCAGAGGGAGCTTTCCCTGGGTTTGTACAGCAGAGGGATGGAGGTTAGCAGAGCGAGAGAGGTACTGGCGTCCCACCGGCTGCCTGGACAGAAGGGGCATTCATATCTTTGGATCCCCCTGGTCGTCTACGACAGACCACAGTTTGTCGGCCAATCTTCTCACCGTTTACTGAGGAAATGTTCACTTAGTGCAGGAAGTCTGAGGTTTCCCCCCAAACGTTTGATTTCAGAAGTTACCCAAACAACAGCAGGGTTATAGGCGAGGTCAGAACAACATAGGTGGGAACTAAACCCTGAGGAGCTTTACAGTGTCACTACACTAGTAACTGTCATATAAATAATTAGTAAAAAATACTCACCTATTACCCCTGAAGCTATTATGTGATTAGTCTTATCACGGAAAATATGGAATGTATTATTATATTTGTTTATTAAGTTTATTGAGCAAAAAAATTAAATAAAAAGATTCACTGTACATATTGAAAATAATTTCAAATATAATAACACAACTTAAAAGCCTGATTTAAAACAATCTTTTAAGTCAAAACATTTTGTTATATAGTCAACAATGATTAAGCATTCAATGATATTTCTTAGATGAAGCTGACAACAAAATACAGTCAAATTAACCCGATACAGCAGATCACAATCTAAATACAAATATCAAAAAATTAAGCTTTTACATAGTCGGAAAAATATTTTTCCATAAAATGTTTGTATTTATGTGCAAATGATTATATTATTAACAGTATTATAATTAAAAAAGGTATGTTAACAGAGAATAAACACTTAATATGCATAGAAAGCGGGACAGGGTTAATACAAATAAAGATGGACAACATGTCTCCACTTCCTCGTGCTGTATAAAAAAATGAATCCAGAATTTATCTTGCTCTTTTTCATAATTTGGAGTCAAATAACAAATTAAAACCAAACTTAAAGTGAAGATTGACATCGGAACAAACATCAGTGTGATAAGAACAACCTAACTGAACAGAAACCTTCGAGCAAAAGACTTTGATTTGGCTAACATTTAGGAGGCGGGGTTTATGATCTATACTGCAGCCATACAGCGGAGGCGTGTCTCCATCATAATCAAGGGTCCCACTGCATCAGGTTTGTGCAGTTCCATTAATGTCCTGCAGGGGAAGCACAAAGCGAACTCACTGCAGTTTCTTCTCAGCGAGCTGGGCCAGTTCTCTGGCTTTCCTCCTCTTCAGCTTCTTCTTAAGGAGGAGCAAGTCGAGGTAGACGATGTGATCTAACACCGAAGAGGCGCAGAGGAGTCCGCCATGTAGAGCTCCTGCGATCCCACAGCTGAACACGTCTTGGCCTGGAACAGAGAGACACATGCAATTTAATGGATGAGAGATGACTATGTACACATGTATGTCTGAGGTTCTTGTCTGTGTTCCGCTTTTGATTATGATTATTCTTCTCAAACTTAAAAATAAAACACAATTTATTCCTCTTTGTGGCTTTTACACCAAAACTGACCCTGTTTAGTATGAAAATCAACCGTCACACCTCAAGAACATCAATCCGACGGCTCATCGAGACGTTCCTATGCCTTCAGTCACAAAACACAAATGCATGTGCAGTGGTTTGTCAAGATTTCCATACCTGAGAGGTAGAGGTTTTTGACAGGGGTGTTGCACCTGTTCCTCGCCACGGCCTCCGCATAGAAACGTTCGAGGTTATGCTCCGCGGAGTACATGGCTCCACGTTGGGCACCGAGGTAGTGCATGTTGGTTAAAGGGGTCGCCACATCCTGGAAAACCAGCTGGAGGGAACAAAAGTTACACTGCAGTTCATACTCAAACACAAACGACACTCTGAAACCTCTCATAGCTAATAAATTGAGCTTGTTTGAGTAAATGAAATGTTTTAAATCATTGTCATTGTCATTGTGTCGTTCAAGCCCAGACAGCAGAGCTCAGTTTTAAGATTTTGCCACATCTACCTTGTCTCTGATTTTGGGGAACAGAGTGCAGGCCCAGTTGAAAAGGTTTTTCGCAAACCGCATTTTGTATTCGTAGTAATCGTCGCCTCGTTTACGCACAGTCGTGTCCTTCCATTCCTCGAACCATTCATATTTCGCCATGGTCAGAATTGTCATACAAGATTTTCCTGTGAACACGAGACGTCACATTTAATCCATGTAGACTCTCAGCAAACACCCTTTCTTTTTATCTGCAACTTATTGTTATGGTGGGTATTGTTTGTACCTGGGTTTCTGATTTTGGCATCTGGGTCTTTAGAGGACGGCATTGTGATGAACATCATGGGAATGTTATCTGGTGCTTCCTCTTTGCTCAGTGCAAAGAAGTCGTCCATCCTAAAAACAAACGTTTAAAACTTTACAGCAACATGCTGAAGACAGAGCATCATCATCACCTGATCTTCGACTCCATCTAGAGGATGAAAAGGGGACTTTTAACTTCCTAATTGAGTGAGCTACATAAAATACATGTTCCTTTATTTAAACTTCACAGTAAATCTGAAGTTACACTGTTTTGTTTCTCTACTGGAATAAAAAAAATGTCGCCCATAAAAGAAATGATAAATATGTTCATTGTCCCTGGTCTTCATCGAGGAGTCAGTTGTATCGCTTCTGCTTATACAACAGCGCCCCCTGCCAGAGAGATCACTGCCCTGCATACTTACGACTTGTCCATATCGTTGTTTTTGAACAGCCAGAAGTTTGTGGACTCGAGGCCCAACTCCTCCTCAGTCCCATCGAAGCCACTGAAGACCAAGAACGACCCTCTGGCGTGTTTCATCATGTTCAGTCGCTCCTGAATATCTTTAATGTGGAAAATGAATCAAATTACGGATCTTGATTCGTTCTTACACAAGAATTATTTTTGAGAATTCGTCCATTTAGGTCATTTCTGTCGCTCACCGTGTTTGACCCGAATCTCAGGTGGAAGAAGCTTGTCCAAGGTGTTGAAGATTCCGCAGTTAGAGACGACCACAGGAGCGTGAACCTCCACCTCCTCCTGACCTTTCCTCACTTTCACGCCTGTCACAGAAATGAAGCCATCGGGTCAGTTACCTGGACGACATCTCTTTGCCTTTAACACGTTGGTAAATGAGCTGGCTGCAGTTCTCACCATAAGCTGCTCCCTTCTCATTCACCAGGATCTGGGAGACTGGCGCTCTGACCAGGCAGTTCCCTCCATATTTCTGGATGGTGCGGACGATGTGGAAGGCGATTTCACTGGCACCACCTTTGGGGTAGTAGGCGCCTCGTTTGTAGTGATGAACCAGGAGGGCATTGATCAGAATGCTGGAGTCCTTTGGAGGCACACCTGAGGAAATAAAGAGTTAAATACTTAGTTATTAAATAGTTAAGTTTAAGTGACTCTCAAAACTTTTTTTAATTGATCGAATAACAATAATAATTCCTGTTATCCCTCCCCTCTACTAAGTGACTTTATATCCAAATCAAATCCATTGTGGTTTGTACAGAGGCATCATTACAACATATTTGTTACTGTACAAATACATATGTACCTGACTGTATATATAAATGGTCTATAGTACATAGACATCCAATTCAGTATGTTCACGTACAAATCTGAAATGTGTCACTGTCCTACTTTCCGTCTGCACTGAACTTTCTGCCATAGCAACTTTGTTTTTGGACCCACCGTAGAAAAGGTACGAGAACATGATGTGGAGGTCCTTGTTTTTCGTCAGCGTGTTCACCAAATCTGTCGCGCCTGTGCCAGAGAGGCGGAAGACAGGGGAGAGGAGGTTTGCGATGCCCGACTTCAGCAGGAGTAAAGACACCCACTGAGGGATCAGCTTTAACGTTGCCAGGTAGTGTGTCTTCTTCGCGGAGGTCTGTTGGAATATGGAGGCAGTTTGAAAACTTTTTTTTTTTTTTTTAAATGTATGGTTTGTCTTTTGGAGGCTGACCGATGGCATGTACCTTCATGATGTCGAAGAAAGTCTCGATGGCCTTGACTTCATCTGGAAACTGCTTGATGAGGTGAGCTTTCATCTCCGTTTTACCAGACATCATGGTGTACTCGCGTTTCTCGTCGCCCAGGCCGATCTGGATGGTGTCGAAATGGGGATTTAGCTGTTGGAACTCCAGCTGGCCCTCAGAGATCTGGTCGAAGGCGATACGCAGCAGACTGTTCTCATGGAGCTGACCGATGTAGTGAAGCCCTGGAGAAGAGAGAGCACAAGAGACATATGTGAGCAATTTTTAAATCTGTTTGTATTTTAAAACCTCTCAATTCACAGTAGAAATACCTTCATCTGCAGTTTCTTTCTTTATTACCTCCACCAAGGAGGTTATGTTTTCACCCCTATCCATTCGTTTGTTTGTTTGATTGATTTTAAGCAGGATTATGTAAAAACTACCAGATTATCATGAAACCTGGATTAAGAACCCATCGCTATCAATCTGCAGATTGCTGAATAATGACAATATTTATTATTTGCAGGAATTAATGATGAAACAAAAATCACACCAGTCCTTTAAAAACAAGGATGAACAGATGACGGTGCCACCTTCATCACGTCCCAAGTTTTCTCACCAACATCAAACTCGAAGCCTTTCTCTATGTAGGTGTGGCAGCAGCCTCCGGCCTGGTCGTGTTGTTCCAGCACCAGGACTTTCTTCCCAGCTTTGGCCAGCGTGGCGCCGGCCGTCAGTCCACCGATACCGCTGCCGATGACGATGACGTCCAGATTGTCAGGAACCTTGTCGAGGTTGAAACCTGGACGGAAACACACAGAGCTGATGTAAACATGGCAAAACTCCAGATATCTTCAAATAAAGTATCATGAATTATATCCTTATGATATTGTAATTATTATACAGTTGTATTGTTATATTCATATCATTATATACTAAATGTGTTGCATAAATGTGTTACACAATGTGGTCTGAAGGTTGCTCTTTAGACGAGTATGCTAATCTTCAGGTCATAATCCAATTAAGATAAAACAAATACATGATAAACAATAACCGTTCTTCTGCTTATCTAAATAACCTGTTTGCCTTTAAGGTGCAGCTAACAGGGTAATTTAGATAAAATCAGTATCAGCACAGTTCTAATCATTTTAAGAGTTTTAATTTTTAAACCATATTTATTTTTATATCCTCGGAAGGTGATTCTCGCATCAATCACTTGTGTAACTGTGACTTTATTTACGATGGACTCATTTGAATCGGAGGTGTCACAAAAGATCGCACTGAGTCACTGTACACACTTTCATACACTTTCATTAATTCTAAATTTCACTACTTAGTATGTTTTATCTGATTTGTGTGATTTGGTCGAGCTGCAGTTCTAAACTTCATCCTGAATTTAATCACAAATATAAGTCTGAGATAAAAACATGACCAATATGTTTTTTTATTTTCCAGTTGACCTTAATCTCATTTGACTCTCATGTCATAGAAAAACAAACATTAGTGTCACTAATGACATAAATGAACTCTTACATTAAGTGTGACATATAAAAAAATATCTTTATTTTGATTATGAGTTTCAAATACAAAGTTATGGGTTCGAAATAAATTTGTTTTTTGTTCCATGAAATGTTCACTTCTCATACTGAAACACTTGCTATAAATATTACTACAGACGTAAAGAATAATAACTATTACAAACTTTTTAATATTATATTTTACGTATTTGTTGTTAGATTCCGTTCCCACAGAGCTCATCAGGCTTAACTGGTAGAAAAACATGATTCTCTATCAACTGTGATGTTTCTGACTGCGATTATTTTACCTTGCTTGATGACCTTGTCCCGTTTCTTCTGGTCGAGCTCTCGAGGACCGGGTGGTCTCAGCGACTCCAGGGAGAAAGGGCTCGGTATCCCAAACAGGTACCAGTAGGTGCCGCCGGCCCATATCACCAACCACACTAAGAAAATCAGCAGCCACATTGTGGAGGGAGAAATCTGCGACTGCTGTGGAGCGGAGTGTTCACAGCAGCAGTGCTTCAGAACAATACTGTCCACACAAGGCTCCTTTTATAGCACAGAGAGCCAAAGGTCTTCAGGACGAGGGACGGGATGAGTAATAAAGATAAAGACCCATTTTCTCTTGTTATGAAAGTGCATAGATTACTGGTAAAGATTACTTTACATTTCACTTGTTTACTTGGGATTTTTACACAAACTGTGTAAAGAATCTGCATATTAGTATTTGAAATGCAGTAGTTTTGAAGTAAATGTGCACATCACCACTTGGGTTGCGATGTAAAAGTTATATAATATAATTTCCCTCCTGTTTGTGGTATTAATACTAAGTCATTCCAAGGAGCTTATAGGAACTTCACTATATTTGATGTCTCCACTAATGCTCTTATCAGATAAGACAATTAAGATAAAGAATAAACTATGAACTAAACATCCCAGGCATTTACACACTTTGTCCAGTTTTATGACTTTACAAGAGACATAAACCTGAATGAAAGAGTTTCAGCATTTCAGACGTGATTACGACAAGAAATCCAGATTCAACTTTTTACTTTTCAAATCGTTGCAATTTCACCGAAATCAATAATCAACCACGTCTGAAATATGTTTCTTCTGAAAGAGAATAATGAGCGATTAAACCGAAGCTGTTCTGATCCATGTGATGACTTTGTTTCCTAACACACTTGTTTTGTGTAATCTATGGATGGACTTCGTTCCAGTTGAACACTACGGTACTTTGAGCCAGACTTTTAATCTGCAGCCACAGATAACATGAAGCACAGAAAAAGCTGAAGGAAACAGTGAATATTAAAACCCGGGCTCACGTTTGATATTTTGTCTTGTCATTCTGACGCTGCTGTAGACTGATCATTTCTTTAATGATGGATCTGCCTCATCTAGCTGTGCCCATGCCAGGGTCCTGTTATTGTAAGGCTAGGTTACATCTGTGGGGGGGAAGCTTTTGTTTTTAATCTCCTTGAAAATGTTCACAGAAATGTTTGATATAAACGAGGATGTTATAATTGAACTGATTCAGATCATATTAATAATATAAGTAATAATAGTTGAATGCGAGGATTACAATTGATTAGTTACCTGTGGTATTATCTTTATGTGTTGTTGAAGAAGTATTTTATTGTGTGTTGAATCTCAGAAACATGAAAATCAGATTACTGTACTCTGATCTCACCAGTGCTACGACAGGAGCTCAAAGTCCAGACGTTGTTCTGACCTCTGTGTTCAGCCGAGCAGAAACTTTACCCCCGAGGTAAAACACTGATTTATCACCTGCGTCCCTCTGAATGATAAGTGACCCACAAGTAGGTCACTATATTCTTGTCGAGAGCGTATTTGTTGTTGCCTCGGATTGAAAGTGACACTAATTGGATGCAGAGCTTGAAATGCAAGAAGCTTAAAGTCTTTGACACAGGAAGCAGCTCTGTGTCAACGGGCCCGTGTGACCGACCGCTGCAGATAAAGAAATCCTATTAAGAATTAGACTAAGCGGCAGCTGCACGACTCCTTTGACTTTGCCCTGTTTTGTGCAGTGACAAAGGTGAGTTTCATGCACCCTTAACCGATAAAACGAGACGGGAGAGCAATGACAGTGAGATCTACTTCTGTGCGTCAATAATCAGAGCAGTCAGGTCAGGTCAAAGCTTTGTACAGCTATTTGCATTTAATTACAAATTGACACATGAACATTTTCATATCCACAGATACAGACAGTAATCCGGTGATGGATTTCTCCTCTGGTAGTAGTACTTCTTAGTTTGCTCTCTACTGTACATCTTTTCCCACAATAATTTCTTCTACAGGAAAATTACAGCAATGCATCCAGCTCCCATATAAAAACAGTGTGACTTTTCCCTGGATGCATTGTGTGCTATGTTATTATGCAGCCTCCCTTGTCTCCCTTGTAGGGGTTCTTGTCATCTGGAACGCCCTTGATCAGCGGATCATTTGGTAGCATTCCCTCAACGAACGAAATCGTATCTGCACAGTTTGCACTCACCTGGAGAGATGGGAACCAAAGAAAGAAGTTATTACTATTAAACATTTAAATGTGCATGCTTTGTCTTTGGTGCCTTAAAGTACAGAAATTATCAGACAGGTTGTTTTTCTCACACAACTGATTTCAGGAGAAAATGAAATTCTGCTGTATTGACTTACTGCTGTTCTCGGTGTGCTAACTTCCTTCTTCAGCTGATCCAGCTCCATTTTCAAGATTTCCTTATCTGACATATCCCGAGCCATCCTGGCTGCAAGAGGAAAGCAAGACAGTCTTTTTGAAAGATGCTAAAACATCACAAACAGTTGTTAAAAGTGCTAAAACCTGTAGTTTCTTAATATTTGAGTTAGAATGAGACAAAATACACTAAATATAAATCCAGGAGAGACACAAGCCTCAATGATGAATAAACCCTCACCTGTTGAATGGCAGAACCCCCGACAATCTGAGAAATGTGTTAGCTCCTAGGAGCTCACCGACTGTATGCCTTCCTCTGGTCAGATCGCTGCTTCACACTGACTGACTGGTCTCTGTCGTCCCACTGCTCTTCATCCCCCGGCTGATCCCCGGCTGCCGGCTTTTGGGAGAGGTCGGCGCAGGATTGGGCCTGATGTCACCAATCCCCCGTGATGAGATTAAACAATCAGGTGCCATAACCCCCTGAACAGGAAGGAGGACGGGAAGCAGGCACACAGATTTCCCACAGATCTGAATGGAAGTGTGACACAGAAATAGAAATGATAGATCTGTCACTGAGTGTAAACTGTGGGACCAGTTCTATCTTTGCATTGTCTCTTGGTTTTACTTTTATCAATATAATCAGAACATTTAAAATTATTAAGCCGTAATTTTCAGGTTTGAATTCTTCTTGTGTTTGTACTGTCGCGCATCATGAGCACGAGGAAGGAGGCCAAGTCTTCATCGCTGATTTGATTATATACTTCAATCCAATCAGTTGCACTCAGTTTTCTAACGTCAGCCTCAAAGTAGGAAACAGACGTTTATAACTTAAGACAGACATTCAAGCTTTTGAGAATAAATTGATTTGTTGTTATTCAAAGTCTGATTTAGTTTTTGGCCTTTTACAGACACTGATTTATTCCTGTTTTATAATATATTGGGAAAATGTGACTTCTTCATATATTCTCTTTAAGCATTTGTGAAGTGCTATTTTTCACTTTTCTTGTTAGTGTGTTTCTTTCAAAACAACCTGAGGCTTCTTTTGAATCTGAAACTGACTGACTTCATCTATATGAATGGAAATCCTAGTTCCATTAACAGCGATGATAATGTAGCTGATGCAGCTCGATCTGCAACAAACAACCTGAATCATCCACACTGAAATGTTTCTGCAAGTTTTACAAAGTGAGATCGTCTCTTCTGTGCCTTCACCTGACTTTTCACCTGAGACACCACAAGCTACTGATCCTTAACTAAACCGTCAGCAGGACTCTCTGTAAGCCTGTTTCAGGATCTGGGTTAGTCTCATCTGCTCCAGATTAACCTCATACACGTCACTGGATTAACAGCAGCGTGGAGATGCTCCTGATCATGGAGGCCTGGTGTGTGTCACCGAGCGCCTGATTACAAACTTTCACTGTCAAACTTTTTCAGCCATTTGCATGTGACTTGTATTTTTATATCTTTTAAAACTTGTACAATGTTTGCATGTGTGATAATGTAGTGAAATTTAAATCTCTGGGTTTTTGACAAAAGAAGCAGAAGACTCCATGTTTTAAAGACTTTAATGGGTTTACAAATCTGATGAGTTTACATTGCTTACATATAGATTAAATATAAAACTGCAATAGATAGAATAATAGAAACAATAGCATTTCGTTATCCCAACAACTATTATGACATTGTGGTAAAGGCTTTGAAAAGTATAGGTCACCATAAATGGCGATACAAGTTTTAAGATGATTGTAGAAAACATTTGATGCCAACAAAACCTTTCTTGGGATTAACAGGGAGACTTTTGACTCTTGGGAACGTTTCTGACTATGGACGTTTCTCTGTTTTCTTATATGGGCAAATAAATACATACATTAAATTACCCTTAGCCACAGTCCACATTTATTTTAAATTATTGCTGAAATAAGCAACTGAAAACCCAACAACAATATAATATTACAGCAGCAAAAAGTAAAAGTCAAGAGAGTCAAATTCAGTAAAAAGTAACATGTAATACTTTATTAGAATAAGAAGAAGAATATAGAAAATATAAATGTCGTATTTACTGTAACTGCCTAATAAATTAAGTTTATTCATATCAACTTTTCCTGTCGTTAGCTTTTCAACCTGTAGGTGGCGCAGTCGAACTTTTACTTTGTCCAGCTTCCTCTCCGACCTGTCAACCAATCAGAGGACGTCTTTTCAAAATAAGAGCTTCAGTTTCATACTTTGCGACTCGCCAAACGCACGTGGAGCGCCTCGTGGTTTTATTCTGAAAGACGGTGGTGTTTTCACCGGATGCCCCGCTCCGTTTCCGGTGCTCCGTCGGCGGATGGGTGAGCGCTGAGCAGCAAACATGGCGGCTCCCAGCAGGAAGCAGGTTTTAAAGTTCATCAGCCAGTTGGGAGCTTTCATTCTGACCCGGTTCGGGTTCTGGAACTGCTTCTGCATGTTGATGCTGTTTGCGGAGCGGGCGGATTCCAAGAGGTGAGAGGAGCTAACGCTGCGGCAGCTAACGTTAGCTAACGTTAGCTAACTGAAACTCAAACTTACAGACTTTTCATGAACACGTTTCTTTTTTTAAACACATTTTCTCGAAACACTTTCAAACCTGTAAAGAAAGAAACCGAGTCCTCAGTGAGCGATTTCGTACATTTCCCTGCTCATGCTAGCTGGCTGCTTATTCTCCAGCTATTAGACGGGACCTCTTCTGCAGACATATGGAGTTGTTTAAATGCACTTGAGTTCTTCCTGGTCTGTAATTTTCTGCGCGGACGGAACACGGTCTGTCGTAGCGTCGGTCTCTCGTGTTCTCTGGGTGTGTTGTTTGAGTCTGTGGTGGGTGGGTCTGACTTGGAGAACCACACCCCTCTGAATTACCCTGTACTTATCTGAGCCTGTGTTCATGATCCCAAACTTTCATCAGAGGTTTCATGGCGTGCTCAAAATGAGACAGTAGACAATCTTTAGGGAGGGGTGGCAAAAGTATTGTTAATCAATGATTCAGCTTAATTGGACTGGTCTTAATTAGATCCAATTAAGACAAAGAGGTAATGATCTACTGAGAGGTCACATGGTTTCATAGTGATGCCATACAACCAGTAGCCAGTCAGATTTACCTTCAGCCTCAGTGTACCCTCATGTTCGGCCTGTATCGTTGATACCAAAACACTTGATGACGCTAAGGTGCACAACTGAAGTCAACATCCGCTGGTGGCTGCTGACGCCTTTAAAGACACTTTAAACTCTACATTTGATTCAGTAGTGCCAGGATTACATAAACATGAAGCTTCTAGCTGGTGTGCACGTTTAAACACACGGATCCAAGAGCCATTTAACCATTTAGTGCGTGAGGTCGATGAAAGGATGGAGGAATCGTAGAATGGATGATTTTCTGTACATTAAACAAACTAATATCTTACCAAGCCAACGTGAAAGAGAACGTGTGGTCGCCTTCAGTTGTCATAGAAACCCAACATGTGTTTAGTTTGTCCGTGATTTAATTTGACACTCTGCTCACTGTCGTCTCCAGGAAGCCAGACATCCATGTACCTTACCTGTTTGTGGACATGGGGGCGGCTGTGCTCTGCGCCAGCTTCATGTCATTCGGGGTGAAGAGGAGGTGGTTTGCGATGGCCGCCGCCGTACAGCTGGTGGTCAGCACGTACGCATCATACATCGGAGAGCAGGTGTACTACGGTGACTGGCTCAAGGTGAGAAGTGGGTTTATCAGAGAATATAACTGCAGGAGGAACTTGCCGCAGACTGTTGTAGTTAAACTGTGTTCCCTGCAGGTGCGGATGTATTCCAGAGCGCTCGCAATCATTGGAGGCTTCCTGGTTCTGGCCAGCGGGGCGGGGGAGGTGTACAGACAGAAAGCTCGCAGCAGATCCTTGCAGTCGACTGGACAGGTTTTCCTGGGAGTCTATCTCATCTGCATGGTAAGAAGGTTTGACAGATTGTCTGTATTTGCATGAGCTCAGACACATTGGGAAACCTAGAATGAGACGGATAATCATGTGAAGGTTATTACTGTTGGTTAAATGAAACAAGACATGTAAAGACATGTAAAGACAGTATTTCCTGACAGTTTATACTATAAAGAATTCATCAATAATTTGCCTTTATTTATAGAACTTACCAAAGGAAATGAGAAGCTGTCAGAATAATTGAAAAATAATTGTTAGCTGCTGCTCATTTAAACCTTTTCTTTGAATTCAAAGTGTCTGACTTAGATCATTCAGTGTTTATATTCAGGTTCACTTCATGAAAAAGAGCTTTTTGAAGTACAGTACAGTCCAGGTTATTTATATAAAAGAGAATAAGATATCATGCACTCTGTTTATGTCGAGTAAAAAATTCATTCAACTTTAAAGTGAAGGAAAACTTTTTTCCAGTGTTATTCTAAATGTTGCAGTACCACTGTCTTCGCACTAGGTGTACTCCCTCCAACACAGCAAAGAGGACAGACAGGCCTATCTGAACCACATCGCCGGGGGAGAGATCACCCTGATTCTGCTGGAGGTGCTGTTTGGCGTTCTGGCTCTGGCCTTCCTCTCTGGCTGCTACATCCGTCTGGCTGCTCAGATCCTCGCCACCGTCCTCCCTCTGGTGATCCTGCTCATCGACGGTAACCTCGGCTACTGGCACAACACCCGCAAGGTGGAGTTCTGGAACCAGATGAAGCTGATCGGACATAACGTGGGCATCTTTGCCACTGCGCTGATCCTAGCTACTGACGGCTGAACCCCTCCGACTCTCACAGGGAACTTTGGTGAACAGAGATGCTCTCGTGTGCACCGGACTGGATTGTTGGACTTTATTCTTCGTCACCGCCCGACTTTGTCCGGCTCAGTGACCTCTTAGGTTTCATACGCTCCGAGCTGAGATGGGTGGATGTAAACTCAATGGTTGTCTTTGCCTTCTGGTTTTTAACTTAACCTGCAAGAAAAAGAAAAATCAAAGCTTCCTTTTTTGCGATTTCATTATTTATTTGAATTCATGTTTACATTTTGTCTCTATGCTCTGAAACATGACACTGAGTAATGATACTGAAAAGTCTTAAAAGGTCTGATAATGTTTTGATGTGTATGTTTAAATATTTCACAGGTAAAGGGAAACCGTAATGAACGCATGTGGTATTGATTATGAAATGATGACATTTGATAGAAAACACTATTGTTGCTTTTATCCGGGGACATTAATGCATCGAGACTTTAATTAAATTTAATAAGAACAGCTTTTTTATCTTGTGTGTAAATTGTTCACATTTTTATACAAAATAAATATTGTAGAGATCACGACTCCTCCAAGGCCCAACTGTTCCCTTCAATTCTATCAACCTGCAACACTCAGGTATCACTTCACTCAACATGCCTCCATCAAGATCTCCATCAAGATCAATGAATTATTATTACGGTGGAAATAGTTGAAAATGTCCTTGAACGCCCTTCAACGTTAAAGTGGTGTCAAATTGAATGACACGATCTAAACTGAAAATAGTCATTAGTTAAGAGGCTTTTATTCATTTATTCTATAATTGGTTTGTAATTTGATCATTTATAGATTTTGAGGTAAACCTTAACTTTACACTGTGATATTACAAAATCTACTGACTTACAACAGCTGAGTATTTACACTTGTGTTCTAAAACTAAGTATAAAACATAGAATAAGCACAATTAAATGAAACACTCCGTTAAACGGCAGCAGTACCTGTGGCTGCAGTGTTTGGACCATGTTGTTGGTTCATCCGCTCCCCTGAAGAATCCTGTGCAGGGGCCGCAGGGCGGGGGATTCGTGGCACAGGCAGGAGCTGGAATACAGCTTCAAGCCCAACGCCACATTCACAAAAGCAGGTGATCACCTTAAAGTATTTCCCTCAGGGCAACAACTAAACCGAGGGAACCGGTTCCAGTGGAGTGACACTGATGTCGGTGCATTGTATATTCCTGATTAAAAAGGGATTATGGGTTTGAACAGATAATCACAGGACAATAATTTATCTGGGGAATAAACCTGGTCTTTTTATATGAATGCAGTTACTTCATCCAGGAATTTCAGCATCACATTACAAAAGATTAAAGGATTTTTCATGATTAAATCTGGTTGCTGAGGGAACCAGCAGTTATGGTAACAAATCACTCGTGTCTTAGTTTTAACATGTTGTTAAATATGAGATCTGACTCTGATGTAGCATCAAACTTCATCACCCACAACGTAAAAACCACAGGTTTTCCAAAACTGTTTTCTGAGCAGCACTGGGGAAACTGCTTTCACTAAATTCTAATAACCACTAAAGCATTGAATCATTTTCCAGGCAAATTACGCTCTTCAGATTAGCATTTTTTATTGTCCTTTGTGAAAATAACCTTCATAATGAGGGTTCTGTTTGTCGTTATTGTTCATTGGGGAAAACAAGAGAATGTGCCAACTCGTGATTTGTGAAATTTGTTTTCAGACATTTTATAAACCAAACAATTCCAAAATCAATAGACTGAGAATTGTTGTCTGCTGCTGAGATAATTACTCGGTGACACACATCGAAACACTCCAGCCTCCCAGAAATGTAGTTGCATTTCCACCTAAAAGTACAAAATCACTGCTGCTCTTCAAATATCTTTCCACATAAGTCCAGAGCAATTAGCCAAATCAATTCAACCGTATTTTAATTAAGAAATTGAAAACATTTGCTGTCAAGTGCTCGGTCGCCCAGAGGACGTCAGCTTTGCAGAAACCAGAAGCTTATGACAAGTAAATCATCTGAAAGTGACGGCGTCAGTTTCCTGTAACATCAGCGAGTAACAACACTAAAAGAAAAATCCTGTTCCTGTTTAAAGAAAACATACACATGACTCCAGACAGATTCAATTACGTCAGATACTTCCAATAATCCTCGTGATCTCACAGTTGGAATGTGTCGAGTTAAAATCATTGGTCGTGAGCTCTTTTCAAAAACTTGTTGAAAATTACAGTCAGAATTTTTGTTACTTTTATTTTAGAAAATGTCCTTTAAAGTGTGGCATTTCAAGTCACATTTTGTTTAAAATACAGAAAATACAGACAATAGAACATGGATACAGCAAAAAAGGAAACAATGACAGAAAATAAAGCTAACAAGCCTTTCTGACTGCGCTAGTTTTCTCTTTTTGAAATGGAACTGAAGGCAAAGGAAGAAGGGCGGAAAAAAAGAAAAGGCTTCAGGGACAGGAGGGGAGGAGTGGGGGCAGAATGAGACAAGTTAGTTAAGGAAACTATGGTTGCTTTATGGTTCATGTTTAAATTATTCTTTATAAAGTCTAATTTAAGATTTAATCTTTCCTCTTTCTTTTTTGTCTTTTTCATTTAATGGTATTTTGATCTTCTGGATCCAGGGCCCTCAGCGCTCCTCCTTGTGGTCTCAGACTGAGGACAAGGAATGCCGACTTAGTCTGGCAGTGGGAACAAAACCACCTGCGTCGCCTTCCCCGAACGACCCACGCTGCCAACTCAAGAAGATAAAGTGGAGTCCTTCTGTGTTTGCTGTGCTTGTGAACGTTGCATGGACTTCTGACTTTCCACGTCTCTAAAATGTTTCTCGACCTGCGGGTGGAGGGGGGGGGGGCACAACAGCGACATTTATGGACAAATCTCGACATCAGTTCTGAGAAATAATCAAAACGAGAATCACTCAAGCTCCCTGACATTCCACCGAGCGCTGCCCACTCACACTTCAAATCAAATTAGATCAGACAAGAATATTAGCCTGCAGATATTGACCTAGCAAAGTATATTGGGGTTAATGTAAGTTATATCCTATAGAATGTTTTCAGTAGATTTCCCTGAAGATTAATCAAGAAAAAAATAAACCTGCAAACAAATCCATGAGCGATGCAGAGTTAGTGAAACACTGTAAAGATACAAAGTTTACTTACTATTTTGCGTACATGACTTAAAGCGCTTCCCTCTTTGCCTTTGCAGTTCTCAACCTGGTAAGGCGGTGAGATTACGACGTCGTCCATCACAATAATGTTCTTCTCCTGCCATTTACAGTCTTTGATGCTGCAAAGAAAAGCGGACATCTTACAGGATTTTGCACAATGAATTGAATGCTTTTTAAGACCTTGATAAAGTTAAGTTAACACCAGGAAATGGGATCCCTGCGACCCTCAGGTGCTTCAGTAACTTTTTGATTTGAATTTTATCCTTTAGTTTTTTCTAATCAGATTTGAGAACAAAGCTGTTTGAGAGAGTTGCAGTCGTTTGATTGTGTTAAAAAAAAAATTACATGAATACTTAATATTCAGCATAGAAGACGTCTACGCTATTAAAAACTGTCCGTGTCTAAGTACTAACGTTTTATGGACGTTTTTGATGGTAGGACAGTGTTGGTGTGACAATTTTCCCATCAGCCTTTCATTTGAACAAATTTAACATTCATTAAGTTGCAGAAACACGGTTTTACCTGCACTTTGTGAAGCATTCAATGCAACAAATGGTTTGACACTGACGGGCTGATGGATGGAAACCGTGTGCACTCATCGAATGTGTGAACTGAACTGCAAAGTGAAGCCTTCGTAATATTTGTTGGTGTAATCATATGAAGTTGAAACTAGACACAACAATGTAAAAGGTTCATATTCAATATAGATCATTAAATCAAAAACGTTGAGCCCTGGGACACTAAAGAATCTGACATCACCATGAAATAAACAAACTGAAGTTCTATGGAGGTCGCACAAAACTAATGTTAACTCCTCTTTCAGACATTTTTCATACATCAGGTTTGTTTTTCTGTGTCAAGTTGCTGAGTTATCACAATGTTTGACAGCTTCTATAAGACCATGTCATGAAAACCAAATGAGTCTTTGGGGCAAATCAAAACTTACTTCACAGGTTTCTAAACCTTACACCCGGCAGAGCAGGTGGACTGAAATGTCTCCTAACAAGGAGAGTTACGTTTGTTGTTGTCACGTCAATAAACAATGAGCTGCTGTTTTTGTTTGTAAGAGATTTGTCCACAAGTTTTCTTCTGAATTTGTTTCTTCAGACTTGTGCCGACATGACTCTGGTCCTGAGTGAGACCTTATCCCCGGATCATCAGGGGAGTGTTTGCTTTTTTCATACTGTTGGGGCCGACTACATTAAGGATCATGTTTAAACGTCCCGGGATTCCTCTCTGATATTAAATTAGCGTGGCTTTCCATGGACTGTTTCAGATCAGACTGTCCCGTCCTTTAAGTTGCGGTCAGCCAATAACAAATGGCAAAAAAACCTGTTGTGATCTAGTGGAGGACACACAGATCTTATAATGTTCTGACCCGATGTACTGATGCTTCTGATCTTCACTGTTAGAGACTTGGCTTTACTCGATCCTTCCGCCCTGAGGAGTGACATTAGGGAGAAGAACATGACGGAGGTTCTTACGTTTTGTGAATAGTCTGGAATAGCTGTTGGCCCTCCACAGAAACCCCAGCACTGATTGCATAGGCTTGGGACAGCTTGTCCTCCTTTTCTGTCCGTGCTCGATTGGCAAGCTGCAAAGAGAGGAACAGAACAAACGTTTAATAACAAGGATTGGAGTTTAACAGCTTTCACCAAGGAACAGTCTCTTATTCTTAACAAGTGAGAACAGCTTCAATCTTTGATTGTGACTCTGTCCTTAACCACCAACCATGTCTTGCTCCACAGGTTGTATATACAATTTACTTAATATGAGCAATCTGTTAACATCTAGTTTTTCTTCTGTTGCTGCCATGTTCCAGTTCAGGGTCATGAATAATCCACATTTCCACAGAACCAGTCTGGTTTTACAGGTTCCTCATAAGACAATGAGAAATTCAGCGTCACTTGGTCAAATTTGGAGGATGTGTATTAATCAGGAAATCCCCTGTTTTTTGGAGCAGTCACAATAATGGAACTAGAGTAAATCAACAGGGACAGAACGATGTAAATCAAACCTACAGACTGATGGATGGTCCATCATGTTTTCAAGCTACAAATCACATTAACCTCTGGTCACAAACTTAGGATGAACTTGTTTGGTCCATTTTTTTCTGACGCACCTGTCACTTAATAGACGTTTTCATTTCAATGAACTCACATTTCCCATCATTCATCATTATCGTCAATAGAAACATAAAGCAACAGACAGAAACAAAGAAGACGGACTCACCTTGCTAACATTCAGTGATGCTAGTGGGGGTGGAGTCTCAGTGCGGTCATTTATTATGTCCACCTCAGAAACATAGGCTAAGTTGATCAGGATGACGTCGTAGAGATTTGGCTTACCACTGGAGGAAGCACATTCTTTAACAAGTCAAGTTAAGGGACACAACTTCAAGACAACAATTGAACTCTGACCCCTGATTAACCTGAACAGCATTAGACGGCACAGAGGAGCTTGTGACACAGAGCACTGTGTCTGACTGACATGGCCAGTGAAAGGTGGTGCCAGTTACTGCAGGCGACCACCAAAGGCAGTGCTGCCACCTATAGTATCCATGGATGAATGAATGAAGACTTTCATGCACATAAACACAGGAGCATTTCCTGAGCTTTTGAATGACTTCCATTGCTGGAAATCCACTAAATCAAATAGCTTTTGAGTAAATTAGCTGATGGCAGGATTCCTAAATTCTCTTCCACTTCAATAAGTCCTGGCTTATTTTGTGCTTGATTAATACATTAAAATGACCCATGAGTTCCTGATCTTCAATTGCCCCAATTTCCTGTTGAATGAAATCCTTCATTTCTTTTTTCCCCCTGGATGAAAATACAGAACATTTGAGGAGCAACAGGAGATGTAGCTGCATCTTAACACAAATCTCTGGTTTCTCTGACGCCCTGACTATCCACATTCCTGAAGCGTGAACCTCACGTGTCCGGTCAGTTTTGTTCTTGTGATTTTGGTGCACAGCAGGGCTTCCCTTGTATTTCAGAGCAAATTGTGATACTTTGATGGTATCAAATCTCCGATCTTCTAGTTCTTTGGTAACTTGATATAAAAATTACAAACGGAGACAGGGTTTGACTTGTAGTTAAGGTGGTGGCAGTACAGTCAAATGAAAGGACAGAAGAAGATGCAATCTACTTCATGTCCATTGTAATTAATTTAATTAAGATCATGAGACTAATGAAAAGCCAGCATTGTGTATTTTCTTTAACTGCTCCAGTGTATTGGCTGATTTACTAAAAACTAATTTACTGTGAAGTGATTCTAATAAAACTATCAAAAGGTTCAGGCCTGTGGTGTCAAACCTCCACAATGGATCTACTTCATTCTTCTGGAGTCTCCGCGTACAGCACGTCCACCTCACGTATTCATTTAAATCAGAGTGACACCGGAGGTGGTCCGGGATTGACTCCGGAATGATGTCCGTCCGTCCGTCCATCCATCTCACACACACTCTCTCACACACACACACACACACACCATGAATGGGTGTAGACACGTCCACCAGCGAGCTAGCATCGGTTATAAAGAACTCGTGATGCCTGTCACCTGAATCACGCTGAATTGACTCCATATTAATTAAATATTAAAATATCACTGGATTCGCATTAACTGTGGTTGATTAGCCTGTGGCTGCTAATTACGGTAGCGGCGGTGTGTGTGTGTGTGTGGCTGACCGAAACATAGCATGTTAGCCGAGCTAGCAGCGGACTGACTGCAGCGTGGAAGCCCATCGGTGTCCATTCATCGCTAGCATTTTTGAAATAGCCGTTAGCATCCAAGCGTAAGGGCGCCGCGGACACCGGGGGAGCAGGTGGGGGAGGCAGAAATAAGTGTCCGCACGCCGCAAAGCGAGGGGCGCCGGGGTGTCAGCTAGCTAGCTAAGCTAACTGGCTAACTAGCAACGGCTTGTGCCTGATGAGAGCACACAGCCATGATGCCTCCCCGGGACCCGCTGCCAGATAGTGATCCGTGTTGAGGTCTGGCACCACAATGAGTGGATTCAAAACACATGCACCCGGTGGCGGACGGCGTGAGAGCCGCGATAAGCGAGCCCGGGACACGGACGAGCCCCGCGCTGGCCGAGAGGCGAGCGCGGGGACAAGCTCCGGAATTAAAAGACACTTTAGAGCGGTTAAAGATGTGGAGCTCGGCGACCACCAATTACGCCTGCGCGGATCACTATTTGACACAGCGTCGGTTACCCTACAGGCCCTTGCAGCCCGGCAGGCCAGCTCGACGTCCGCCGGCCCAAACCGACAAAGGATACTCAGGGTCAGCATCTTGGACTGGTAGTCGAACGCGACCACTTCTCCTTGCAGACGTTGGCCCAAGCAGGTGAGGCAAGAGACATGGCTCCCGACGTTGAAATACTCCCCCGGTCCAGGAGCCGCCATCTTCTCCGCCAGGAAACCGGAGCGCCTGCCCTTACGTAAAAGCGACGTGATGACGTGGGCGGACGCAACCCTGGGCGTGACCAAGCGCGGCGGGGTCTTTTGTATTCGATTGATTGACGCTTCTAATTAATTTGAACTCAATTTAAACACGTCGACGACACACGAGGTGTTTTTAACAACCGATTAAATTGGATTGTATTCGATTAATCGAAGGAGGAAGTTGTGGCTTTGTCTCCCAGTCAGAGATGGCCCGCCCCTGCTGGATGTGAGGCGACATTGCGGGTTCCCCTCTCCCAAACAGCCGCCCTCTTGATTTCTTCTCATCTCTTGTGTTTAAAAAAAAAAAAAAAACGATGGAGGCGGTTTACACTCAGGGTGTTTTAATGGCCGAGTCTCTGCAGCAGAGGACGATGGAGCAGGAGAGACTGTGGCAGGTCGTCACTCACATCGGGGACCCCAAAGCTGCCTTCCTGCTTCTCTTCCCTTTCACTTACTTCCTCAGCAGACGGGCCGGGGTGGCGGTGCTGTGGGTGTCGGCTGTGTCCGAGTGGCTCAACCTGGTGTTTAAATGGTAAGGCCGCCACGTTGTCTGTAAAACTTTCAATGTGCAGAGTGAAGCCCCCTTCAGCGATCTGTAGCATGTTAGCATGTAGCTAGCTAACGTCAACCCCCCTCCACCCCTGTCCTCTTCCCCGTAGTGAAGCCGCTCAGTGTCACAAAGCTGCAGCGTCACACATATTTATTTCTATTTGTTTTAATTATCATCAGTGTTGAACGATGGAGTTAGAGACAGTTGTGTTGTTTGTTTAGTACATGTTGGAGTTTCCGGGACATAACTGTAAATGGGGCGGTCCAACCCCGGTCCAGCTTTCTATGTCGTCCGGTGTGAAACAGACATGAGCGGAACCAAGACATTTCTGTCTCGTTTTCATTTTCGTTTCATTCTTTACATTTACACATCAAAACTCAGAAATAATAAAAGGGCACAAAGTGATCGTAATAGTTTAACAATATGAAATAATTCATAGGAGAAGATTGACCCCAGAATTAAAGTAAATAAATGTTTTTAGGGCAATATTCAATTATCTGTTTGCATAAGAGACAATTATCATTTGTTTGCAATGGATTGAAGAGGTGCTAACTCAGTTGACAGTTTAAAATATATTGATATGATTAAAATTGTTTTTCGTAGAACTAAATAAAAACTCAAGGTCAAGGTTGTTTCATAGATCAAACGTGTTGTAAATGTTTCTTTCCCCAGGATGCTGTTTGGAGAAAGGCCGTTCTGGTGGATTGGTGAATCTGGTCTATTTGTTGACAAGCAGCCGAAAGTTCAGCAGTTTTCCTCCACCTGTGAGACCGGGCCAGGTGAGACGTCCTCACAGTGTAACACAAAGGGATCTTACTTGATTGTCCAGCCAGAGCTTTAAGCTGGCATCTGTTTCTCAGGCAGTCCTTCGGGACATGCGATGGTGACAGCAGCAGTCTGGTGGGTTGTGGTGTCCTCGCTGGGTTCATTTCTGTACTCTCGTACTCGCAGGTATGCTGCTAAAAATATATAAAAAAATATATGTTGAGCGCATCAGAGCTGTTTCCTAATTAACCTCTTTCTCCATGTCTCCAGTGTGGTGCTATCAGCTGCTCCCTTCCTGTTCTATGTGCTGATGCTGGTGGCCATTGGAATGTCCAGGATCTTCATCCTCGCCCACTTCCCTCACCAGGTCATCGCTGGCTCCATTACAGGTCTGTGTACAGTGACAGGTGGAAGTACGGAGTATGAGCGGGCTGTAAGGATTAAATCCATAACCAGTACTTCTGTAAATCTCTTGGTTCATTTGAATTCCTGCTGCAGCCTAATGCACTCAAAGACAATCTGCATATATACCATGGAAAAATCTCTGATAGGTCAAATGTATTCTGTCTCATGGTTTATATATCATGGGGATTATTTGTTTTTTTGAAACTGATTAATTTGTTCATGTCAGGTTTCATTCTGGGGATGGTCTTGAGCCGCAGAGTACCAGAAGGTCGCCCCCTGCTGTTCTTCTTTAGCTTCAGCATGGGTCTGATGCTAAGTGCTCTGATGCTGCATGCTGGATTACAGCAGCTGGGAATCGATCTCTCCTGGTGAGTAGCGACACTGACTGATCAGTCAGGGGAAGCACAAGAAACGTTCCTACCTTGATACAACATATTCTTTCCCACAGGTCTATTACTTTGGCTCAGAAATGGTGCAGCCGGGCCGAGTGGATTCGTCTGGATACAGCTCCGTTCTCCTCCCTGACCCGAGATTGTGGGGCCCTCCTTGGTTTGGGGCTGGCGCAGTACTGGAAGCCCGGAGGATGGGCTCTGCCTTGGGGTCCACGTGCTTTATCTTTGGCTATTTCATCCATGGGACTGTACCACGTGAATCGGCTGCCACTCCCAGTCCGACCACAGGGCCTCTTCTACGGCCTCTGCTTTGTCAAATTTGTCATCGTGCCTCAGATTGTGATGGTTCTTGTCCCTGGAGTGATTCACCTCTTCACACACAAAAAGAAGAAGGACTAGAGACTAGTCTATTCATCAGGTGTCATTTACACATCTGAGGACTATAGCATTCCTCTTACAGGACAGTGTCTGTCAACACTTGACATCTAATTGATTTCATCGGTACTGTTGTCTGTACAGTCACTCCACTTTTCTTTTTTTTACTTGGAATTCAATCAGCGTTTTTCTTTGCACTTATCAGTGACTTAATGTTTTTTTAGTGTATATGGGTCATAAATTATGTGAATGTATGCATTTTTAAGTTAAAGCACATTTACTGCAAATTATAATGCAATATTTTTTGTCAAAGTTTGAGTTATTTCTAAAGTTATTTTTGGAGAAAAAAGCAGTGCATAAAAAAAAAAAAGACACTATATTTGAAAGTCCTTCTGGGCTGGAGCTGGCTGTTGATCATTAACACACATTATTTCCAAATCAAAAATATAAATATATATATAAATATCAATAATTTAGATTTATAATTATGTCAATGAGACCTGATAAATTAAAACCTGAAGGAAATTGTTTTCCGAGCTTTAACAGAGAGAATATATGTGATAATGTTAATATTGGTCCAGGTCTGTTGTTAAGGTTCGAAATAAAAGGATATATTAGAGGTGTAATCTATATATTTGTCATTGTACTGAATTGTATTGTGTAATAGTGTATTACACTATTCATAGTTTTTTGTGTCAGCACACTGGTGTTTCTCGGACTTAAATCAATAAATTACATTTTGAATGCACACGATGAGTAAAATAAATAACTGACATGCAGGGCGTGTTTCAGTTGGTAACCATTTATAAATATGCTCTTTTTTGTTTTGACTGTACAGATTACAATCAGTTATCATGAGATAAAAACACATTCTTTTTATTTGTTTTTAATTAAACTTTTTGTCACAGCGATCTGAAAGCTCACATTTACAGACAAGAGAACTCTGCTCAGCAAGCAAATACATTAAAAGAAAAGAAAAGAACCTTTTCCCTTTTGTCTGGCGAGGTTTGAGGAAAATGATAAGGACAGTTCAGGGATCGCAGTCTCCTTATCTTGATCCAAACACTGTATCACACACCAGAGCCGGGACACTGCTATACATGTTTCCGCTTGAGCTCATGGAAAGAATAGAACATGCATCAGACTATGTACAGCAAACTAATATACACACACAGCTTGAAACCATACACCCTCAAATAGCCTCAACTGAGAAGTCCAGTTTAAATGAAGTATCTTACAGTTTATACCTTAATCTCTGTAAAGATAAGTCGGGCGATTCTCTGGTAGCAGGTGAAACTGAGGACGGTCAGGAGGAGCCGCCTCCTTTTAGATATTTTTTTATCTAGAACCAAAATAAAATGTTACAGACAAACGGTCTATAACTTTCCCCACATATACAAATAACTTGAATATTCTTATTATCCCTCTTTTTTCTCATCAAACTCCAAATACAGAGTTTCTGAAATGTCAGTCTTTTTTTTCTTTTTTTTTGCAGTAGATTCCACTTATTTTCAAGGCGTGTGCAGGACCAGTGGATTAGACTGGCTCATTTGGAGACTTAGATTTTTATTTTTTTTATTTTTATCATTACTTAAATATGATCGGCTTCTTCAAACAGACTTGTTTAACTAACGAACCCGAGCTGGACGGAGTGGAACATCTGAGCCAGTATATACAACTTGTGCTAGAAAGTCTATACATCTTCACCTGTTTAAAAACATTGTTTGCTCTTCACATTGTCATTCATCACTGCTTTGTAAATCATATCGTAATAATAATAATAATAATAATAAGTGTCCATGATAGTCTGGTATCAGTGGCCAGAGGTCTGACCCATCACACACCCACGTTCTCCAAATTCAACAATCATAACAACACAGTAAGTAAAATACATAAAGTGCACCCTTAGTTAAGAACTTAACAGGCATTTTTAGTGCAGAGGTGGCGGCGTAAAAATGCATTATGGGTAAAAAGAAACGGCACGAAATAATGCAGGAGTAAGAGGGAAAATGTCTGCAACAGTGGTCGTGTATGCATTTGTTTGCTAATAGTCGCTGAGCACTAACCGTGTTAACCCATTACTAGCATATGTGCCGTTGTCTCTCGTATGAACGTACAGTGTCGTTATGAACTGAGGAGGGACTAAGACGAACTTTGATACTTTAAATCAGCCGCCACAGGTTTTTTAGTATTTACCACTGATCAGCATCATTCAGATAAAGATGATTGAACGTTTCTGTCGACAAGGAATCGAACTGTAAACACAGTTATTGCACTTAAGGCCTTTTTTTTCTCCTAATAGAGCAATCTGTCCTCAAAACAAAGATTAAAGAGTTCTGTAAAAAATATTAGCCCGTTCAAAACGACAGCAACTGATGATTTGCTTGTTTATACAACACGATGGCTAAGTAAAGTAAAATATCCTATAAAATGTTCACAGGAATGATGCTTAAAAAAAAAGGAAAAACTTCAGGAATGAGACGATGTGACTTGATTCACAAATGAATTGAATTCGCTGATGAAGTTTTCTAGACATTTAGTTTCTAATATTCTGGGAAAAGTTGGATCCTGTTATCAACTCAAACCTTAAAACTATTTGTTGATGAATCGGTTGACAGGCAGTCGACAGGCAAATGTCTTTGATTGATCATTTCATTCAGATTTAGCTTTTCATCATCTTTGGGTTTCGGACTGATGGTCGTTTGTCTTATTATTATTATAAAGAGATAAATCAAAACGATATTCTGGAGATTAACGGAAAATGAAAATTGTTGGTTGCAGCAGTATTTTACATCGAGGGCATATTGCAGCAGAAAAAGCACAAACCACGACAAAGTATTGAATTTCTATTTTGACAAAATCGAGGTATTAACGTCACTCAAAGTTGGTCTCTGTCCCTCCTCCCTCATCCTGGTCGGTTTTCCATATGACTAGCAGTGGGACACAAAGGCAGGAGTAACAGAATACAATTCAAACGCAAACTATGTTTTGTTTTATTTCTATGTACAATATATAACTTAATTA